TCCGGGGGGGGGGGGTAAGTAGTACGTAGAACCTAGGATTCTGGGGTTTATGGAGTTGGTCTTTGGCTTAGATCTTGGCAGTGCGGAGTTCTCAGCGGTTCGAAGAAAGAGAGACGCGCGTCTTTCAGACAATGGCCCAGCTTCATCTTAAACCCTGAGCCTTAAACCTTCAGCCCTGAACCCAAAGCTGGAGGCTTTGTCAGTTGGATCTTGCCTACCCCGCCCACGCTTCTCGGCACGTTCAGGGTTGAGGCTTTGAGGGGTTGAGGTTTTGTTGGCTGTTTATGTTTAGGCTTTGAGGGCTTGGGGTGTTAGAAGGCGGTGAGGTTTGAGCCTGGTTTTGTGTTTCTGAGTGGTAAGGTGTCCGGACGTTGCAAGTTTGCGCTAAAGGCTTCCCAGAGGGCCCAATACACTACACTTAAACCAAGAAATTGCCTTACACATCCTGACACAAATTGGAGTCTGTAATTAGGGGCTTATTGCTGGGCTTCCAGGTCCTGCGTGCCTCTAGCTCTAGTTGAAACCACGCGGGGTATCTCGTCATGCTCAGTTCGGAATGAGAGAAAGGAGCCCAACAGTAGACTCCAAACACTCCAGATAGTAATCTCTATAATCTAATTTCCCCCAACTAAGTATGAATAAGGTTAACTTGTGATTGAGCATGCAGGAGGTTTGCGTGCCATTCAGTGGGGACCAATTGCTTCCATGAAGACGTACAAACACCAGAAGCATGATTTGTGTTTGGAGCTTCTCCCAGGAGCTCCCTGCAGGTCATTCCGACATTATATGAACAATCATGAACACTGCGTGGTAATTATTCTAGACTTCACATGTAACAGCCAGAATACCAGAATCGCTTAGCAGAAAGAACAGTATTCAAATAGTGTCATATTCAGCCTTTCTTTCGTATTTTAGAAGCCAGGTCTCCAGCTTAGTTTAGCCACACTTTGGTGGGGACGGGTTGCAACGATTTGTGTTGATGCCTGGTGGGCAAGAACCCATGTTATGTCCAGGTAATATCTTATCATCTCTTATAGTTGGTATTCTAGATCAAGAACGCATGTGTTTTGTAATCTGCCTACCTGGTGTTATGTCTTCAATGCCTTGGGGCTGGATGCCTGGGCCAAATACTAATATGCATCTAGGTCTTCATCAGCAATGTCAGGGTTTAGCTGAAGTCGCGTGAGACTCACGCGTGCACTCCACCTCAGATTTTGGGGCTTGACCCTTGGCGGACTGAATTGGATGCCGCCCTTCAATGCTGAGAAACAAGGACCCCAGTTCACAAGTCGACGCCTGCCCCGTTGCATCCGTCGCTCAGCAGAAGCTTTGAGAGCTGGCGAGGTTAACATTGGAAAAGCGGTATCTGCTGCCATGCTTAAGACTTTCTAGTACACGAGTGTGTAACCTTTTGCTTTTTGCTTTGGGGCGCTTTTGCTTTTTGGGGTGTATGGCAGCTAGGTCACGGTCTTGCATGTCATTAGGGATTACCATTCTCCGCCCACAGTTTGCCATTGCCGAGATTGGCTGGGTCTGCGAGGTTAGGATTCCAAGAAATTGTGGTGAAGCTCTGCAGGGTATGTACATCATACACCAGACGCCTACATGTACTGGTGAGGCTCGTATAGCACACTTTCATGAGGGCAAGCTGTCTTCAAGCTGAACATGGTTGCTGCACTAAGTCTTGAGTAGGATGAACCAGATGCCTGGCTGCGCGTTACTTTTCCTGAACATGGGTGCTTTGGCACATTCAAGGGTGCCCTGAGGGGGGCATCGCAAGTTGCTGTAGCTTTGCACGAGCCACGCCAGTCATGTTTCTTCGAGCGGCTGTGTGCTTTCAGGTAGAGCCTTGCTGTGGCACAGCATTGCTTCTTTTTTTCTTCAGCGCCAATTAGCTCCTTTCAAAAGCATGCAAAGTGACCCTCAACCCCGTTGCAGCTTTGTCCGAGGCCTGTCTGCAGAATCGACTTAGAAGGACATGTGGCTCAGCTGGCTCTGAGATTCTAAGATAGCTGCATATTCTTTGACATGTAGCATCACCTCTGGAGGCTCCCCCTACCAAAAAAGGAGATCCTCGCCATAGAAAAGACCAGCACAAAGGGACCTTGAGTTTTCCATATCTGATTTCTAGGTTTATGGTGGGAAGGACAGCCAAGTCAGGGCTGGTTTCCTTGAAGCCATGTGACAAGCAGACACATGTAGCGCGCTGTCATTCCTTCTCATTTCATGCTCAGATTTTCTAGCTTCAAATGGCACAAGTTCCTGCAGCACGGACACCGTCGCTAATTTTTTGAGAGGCGAGAGTTTGGAGTTCTTTACCTCTGACGAGCTTCGCAGGGTTGTTACCAAAGTTCACCGAGGGGAAGCCTGCCACTCCCCTTGTTGCCTGCACCTTCTGGGATGTTTGTACGTTCGACACCACTAGAGGCATTTTTTGGATTCAACACGCCATCTAGCACAACCCAAAGCCTGAAGGTAGACCGGCAATCCGTAGCTGACGTTGTTGATGGTAGAAAGCCCGCACCACCTCGAGTACCTAAATACGGAGAATTCAGTAGTTTACGGGCTTGATATCGTGCAAGATTTTTTTCCATCAGCCAAAGGTCCATGATGTTGCCGGCCTCAAGCCGCCTCAATCTCCCGAAGACGCCCATGCGTGGGAGAGGCGATGCGCGGGAAATGGTCAGGTAATTTGGCGGAGGGATCTTGGAAGTGATTACAAGCCAGTCATTACCCTACCAGTGGACCTAGTGGCTTAACAATGGATTGTAAATACAGTTATAAGTAGGTTATGTTTACCCATTAAGGTTTAAGTGGTGCTTCCTGTCGCAGGCGGCATCAGCAAGCCATCATTTCTTGTCAGATCTTCGCTTGGACATCATTCATGTCTGGATGTCAGATGGTTTCTTCAATCAAGTCGTAGGACGGCCAGCTAAAGATCCCAAGCTCTGAAATCGGCGTAGGCTTTCTGCGTTCTGGCAGCCTTCGAAACATGCCCACCTAGTAAAAAGCGTGACAACCTAAGTCGACTCAAGTCTTCCAGGAGTCAGAAATACATGACCTGAAGCACCAGTCCTACCTCACCCTACAACCTTGGACCCTAAACCCTGGACTCCAAACCCAAAACCCTTATCTCTAAAGGCCCCCAACCCCGAAACCTAATCCCAAGCCCTAAGCCCTGAACCCTGAACCGTCTGTCGTCTCATTGTCAGGCTCAAGCTCTTCCATCGGAAGAGGCGGGGATTCCATCTGCAGACCGGTCTTGAGCTTGAAGAGCTCTAAGCCTCCTGTAGAAGTTGTCAAAACTGAGGCCACTGTTTGGTTCTCCATTATTTTACGGGACCAATATTCAGGGACCACAATTTTGACAAACTTGGAATTCCAAGGAGGGCATGTAAAGAGTCCTTCTCCAAGAGCACTCATATGGCCCACTCTGTCCTCGTCTTGTGCTTACGTACGTCAAGGCAAAGCTTGTTTGTCCTGGCTATTGAATGGTGTTCGCAGATCTGCGTCTCGGGCCTGAATGTGGACTCTGTGCATCCAGGAGATGATAAAGAGCTAGTTTCGCCTGAAGGGGGCACAAAGTTGAGGATGTTGTTCCCGGTTCTGTTAAACAATTCCTACTCGATCTCCAAGGGGACCCAACAATCCCCTTCATTCCTACACACTGAACTCTAATCACTGAACCCTGAACCCATAGACCATATATATCGCTTACATATATATATATATATAGAAAAAATTCCACCTTTGTAAATGGCCCTCAGAGCACCCATGCAATCCAGTCTTGTCTTCCCTACGAGGCATCCGGAGGGTTGGGTTTGTAGAAGCTTGGGCAATTATCAATTCCTGCATGCTCGTGCAATCCTTGTATGGCTATAGGGTAATATACCTCAACCCCATCCCACTTAAACCAGCCTACATTACCTTGCGAGCGCGCAAAAACCCTACCAGGCATACGCGCTGGCAGGCCAGGGGGTTCTCCGCTGCCTCTGTCTGACTTGTTGGCGCTTTTCCATACCCCTTACTTAAGGACTACAGCTTCAAATAATTCTTGGCTCCCTGGCATAGTCTGAGGTTTGTTCTTTAGGGGTATTGGGCTCCTGGGTGCAGCAGCCAGATTCTTAATTGGAGATGATCCCCTGGAGTCACTCTGCATCTCCAGCATCTCTAAGGGCCTTAATTTTCAGAAGCCACCGTAGAATGTAGAAGCCTGACTAGTTGCCCATGTTCTTCCTTCAATTACATCATCGTATACACCAGAATCCTATCCATGTTCCGAAAAACCTAAAACCCAAACTCATGCTGTGGAGTTGGCGTGACCCTGGAAGGCTGAGGCAACAGGCCACGTCAACCATGTTGAAGATGACTGGGACGATGCGCCACTGCTTTCTGATTACTTACTGGTGCTGAGGCGGAAGTGGGCTATGGAATGTCTTTAGAATCATATTGATCATATGGGGATGATGTGGGGGACCCGTTTCCCAATTCCACGTAAGCATCAATAAGCTTAGGTACGAGTTAGGCGAGACATCGGCAAGGATTTGCAGGTTGAGCTGCAGCTAGACCTGAAGACTCGATCCTCCATTATCAGAAAATTCCTAGTAGGGTGGTTTTGAAGGGTCTTGGGGATTTATCCTTATTCAGTGATGGCCGCAGCGGCTCTCGAATTTTGATCGGAGACGCCGAAGACGCCGAAGACGCCGAAGCTCAGAAGGCCGGAGACGCCGAAGACGCGCAGAGACGCCGAAGACGCG